ATTTCAATTAACTAAATACTGAATTAGTGTTATTGTTTCCTCAGTTACATCACTACACAATCTGATGGTTCTTTATTATATTTGTTTTCTGTTATAATTCTACTGCTAAATTCTTGCCATTCACCTTCTTCAACTTCTCCATTATATTTTACTTTATTACCTCTTCTATATGTTGTTATTTTATATGTTATATTATATTTTGTTTCTTCTATTATTTCACATTCTTCTTTTTCTTCATAAATAATTTCTTTAAATTCATTTATTAATTTATTGATTTCTTCTTTATCAAATGGTTTTAATCCTCTTGCCCATTTGATTAATTTTTCTATTTCTTCTTCTGATCTTGTATTATCATAATAATCTTCATCTGGTTGTGAATCTACAAAATACATTGGAATAAAATCTTTATTTGTTTTTTCAATATCAATATTTTCATTTATTTTATTTGTTTGTTTAATAAATTTAATCATTTCTTCTTTGATTTCATTTTTTAAAATTTTATCTTTTTCTAATTTGTTTTTTGGTGTGTAATTATAACATTTAGTCCATACAATACATATATGTTTCCAAAAATCTTTAAATTGGAAAACATCAGATATAATTTTAACGATGTCTCGAAGATTAGTAGAAAATCTGTTTATTCTAAAATCCATTGTTAATACAATTCCTTGTAATCTTGTGTTTTTAACACATTCAATAATATTTTGAATACCTTCATTATCAAATCCATCAGAATCATTAAGACTAGGAGTATCAATAACAAATACATCACTTTTATCATCCTCTCCATAATATCCAATAGTATTTTTTGTTTCTGATTTTGGTTTACTACTTACATTAAAAACATTATCTTTAAGAATAAAATTACCTAATGAACTTTTACCAACACCTGTTTCTCCAATCAAAAGTAATGTAGTTTGTTTCAATCCTTTTATACTCATTGTTTATTTTTTAGTTAAAACAACTTTAAATATTATCTCTGTTTGATCAACAATAAATTTTGTTTTTATAGAATGACGTTTATCTTATTTTATTAATTATCTAAAGGTGTTTGGTATATTTTTAATTGTTTTCATTCATATTTTATTTATTTAAACGTACCCCTTTCATGTTATTTTCATTTCAAATGGTGTTATCGTTTTATATTTACGTTTCATTGATGTGTAAATTATGTAAATTTGTAGAATTTCTTTATAATATCCTTTTATTTAAAATTACTTGAAATTTTAATCAAAAACAAATGAATAACTTTAGTAACACATTAACTTAACTTATTTTATTACAAATTTAATTTGAAGTTGTATTAAAATATATAAACATTATTTAAAGATTGATACCTAATTTATAATACTAATGTAAAAAATGAGACGTTGGTTATAATAAAGTACTCATTAATTTCAATTGCACCTTTTGTTAACACATTCATTTTTATTCTCATTTTTATATTTATTTGAATCATATACAAATAAACAAATTAATCCAATCTTTATTTTAATAAAAACAAAACATCGTTTTAAAAAATAGTTAATTAGGATTTCGTTAATATTACTTGTTTAATGCTGAACAAGAACTCACCATAATGAAATAGCTTTACCAACAAAATATATAATTGTGCCTGTTGCTATTACTGCAGTTGCTGCTACTACAATTCCTGTTGTTACTTTTAATACTATATTTGATGTTGTTGTAATTTCATTACTTTCAACTTTTATAATTTTCCAATTACCATACCTAATTTCTCCATTATAATAAATTCTTATTTCTCTTTTCATATGTTTGACTTGTGTTATTATATATTTACCATTATTTCCCATTGATTCTGTTTGTTCTTTTTCTTCTGTGATTATTTTTTTATATTCACCATATCTATTCTCAATTATATCGATGTTAATAGGAGTTAATTCACTGCCCCACTTTATTAAACTTTCTATTTCATTTTCTGACCTGATGTTATCATCTTCTTCATCTGGTTGAGAATCTACATAACACATTGGAATAACAACACTCTCTTCTGTTCCGGTGGTTTCTTTAGTACGTTTCAATAATTCTGGAAGAAATTCATTTCTTTTATTCTCCTTTTGCATTTTCAATTGGTTTTGTGAGAAAAAATAGTAGCATTTATTCCATACAATACATACATGTCCCCAAAATTCTGAAACTGGGAAAACATTACTTAATATCTGAATCATTATTTTCAGGTTGTTGGAAATTGTGTTAATGCTATAGTTTAGAACAATAACAATTCCCTGTATTCCTCCTTGTTCTTTAACAGAATTAACCATATCATTCAAAAACCTTTCATTAAATTCTCTTGATTCTTGAAGACTGGGTGTGTCAATAACAAACACATTATTTCTATCATATTCTCCATAATCTCCATTTATCTCTGTTGTTTCAGGGTTTGGACTATCACTAACTGTAAAAACATTCTTCTTTAAAATAAAATTACCTAATGAACTTTTACCATTTCCTGTTTCTCCAATCAAAAGTAATTTAACTGGTTTTCTTTCTTGTCCAGTCATTTATATTTTCTAGTTATCCTTTCTTTAAATGTTACAATTAGGTTATTTATGAAATATTATTTATAAATGATGTTTGTCGTTTATTTAATGTAAAACAAATATTTATCGTATTTAAAATGATAAAACATACCCCCCTTTTATATTTATAATTAATTTAATATTGAATAAATTTAGAATAATCAGTGATAAATAACTACATTCAATTGAATAATGAGAGAATAAGAAAAAATTCATATAACCAATACGTAAATATTGTTTAAATTATACAACAACAAGTACACAATAAATTCATCCTTGTTCAATTTCCTTTTATGTTTTCATATCATCTATTTCTTATATTTGATTAAAACATTACTATTGTGTTTTGAAATTATTTTATCTTTATATTCCATTAACCAAATCAAAAACACAAATCATTTATATTGTTTAATTAACCTTTTAATTATTTTGCACCACTTGTCTTTTCTTTATCATCATCAATAAGGAGTTCTTTACCGATAACACCACCATCAATAGCACCACCAATAGCACCACCAATAGCACCACCAATAGCACCAGCAGCAAGAAGACCAGTATGAGCACAAACGGTAGTAATAGCACCAGCAACAATACCACCAAGACCAGCAACACTACCAAAGGCACTAATAGCACCAGCACCACCAACAACAATAGCAGCCAAACCAGCACCACCAGCAATACCCAAACCCAAACCAACAACACCAACACTAACACATAATGCTATAACACCTAGGACCTTAACTGTCCTTCTTGCCAATTTTCCCAATTTTTTATCTTTTTCTTCTATTCTACTGTTAAATTCAGTCCACTCACCTTCTTCAACCTCTCCATTATACTTTACTTTATTGCCTCTTCTATATTTTGTTATTTTATATGTTCTCTTAAGTATTGTTTCTTTTATTGTTTCACGTTCTTCTTTTTCTTCATAAATAATTTCTTTAAATTCATTTATTAATTTACTGATTTTTTCTTTACCAAATGGTTTTAATCCTCTTGCCCATTTGATTAATTTTTCTATTTCTTCTTCTGATCTTGTGTTATCACCTGCTTCTGGTTGTGAATCTACAAAATACATTGGAATAAAATCTTTATTTGTTTTTTCAATATCAATATTTTCATTTATTTTATTTGTTTGTTTAATAAATTCAATCAGTTTTTCTTTGTATTCATTTTTTGCAGTTTTATCTTTTTCTAATTTGCTTTCTGGTGTGTAATTATAACATTTAGTCCATACAATACATATATGTTTCCAAACATCTTTAAATTGGAAAATATCAGATATAACTTTGACAACATATTGAATGTTAGCAGAAAACCTATCTCCATTATAATTCATTGTTAATACAATTCCTTGTAACCCTTTGGCTTTAACACATTCAATAATATTTTGAATACCTTCATTATCAAATCCATCAGAATCATTAAGACCAGGAGTATCAACAACAAATATATCACTTTTACTATCTGCTCCACAATATCCAACAGTGTTTTTTGTTTCTGATTTTGGTTTACTACTTACATTAAAAACATTATCTTTAAGAATAAAATTACCTAATGAACTTTTACCAGTACCTGTTTCTCCAACCAAAAGTAATGTAGTTTGTTTCAATCCTTTTATACTCATTGTTAATAATCAGATGTTTTGATTTCTTTAAAAACCTTCGGTTTTATATGAAATGATGTTTGTTGTTTTATAATTAGAAATTGAGTAAAAATAATCACAGATAAGAGTTTTATGATAAAATTATTTTATTTAAGTTGTTAATTTGTTTTATTTAAGTTGAAAATAATACATAATTTGTTGATTTTTATGTTTATTTTTAATTCCTTATTTAAAAATATATCGTAAATGACATTTGACTTTAATTATAAAAATATGTAATGTTTACAATGTTAACGAATAAAAATTATTATGTAATTTTTTACAAACATTTAAAAAAATGTAAAAGATAACTTAGTAATAACTCTTATTTAAAATCAAATTTATTTTTGTTTGTTGATTAAAATAGCATTTTATTTACAACAAGAATACTTTTCCTTCTTTTTCAAAATAACAATCTCTTTATTTTCATTTTTATTAATTTCTTTATTCATAAAAATATTTCAGATCCAAATGATAATTAATTAAATAATTTTAATTTCAATAACAGATGTTCATCTCTTTCAATTTGATAATAGTTATGATAAAATGAATTGTCATAAAACAGATAAAATGAAATAAGTAATAATCATTTTTATTTTTCATGAAATGAATGAATTCATATTGTATTACGATGTTTAATAAGGTGTTAAATTATAATGATGAAAAGTAAAATGATGTAAATAAACCAGATATTAATCATTGGAATGCTTTATTTTATTTTTAACAATAATTCATAACTTTATCTGATTATAGTCTATATAATACTTTTGAATTAATTTGACAATCTTATTGTTTAATATAAATTCAAATAATCTTCATTAAATTTGTTTTAAATATTTATAATTTTTATTATATTCACAATGATATTTGTTCATAATATAAAAACATGTTACAATTTCAAATATTGACGTTTCTTAATCGATAAAATATAGAAAATGAAGATGTGATGTACTTTATTTAATTAAAATAATCTTATTAACATTGTTATTTAAAATAAAATAAATTATTTGAAGAAATAATTCAACAAAAAGAATAATAATAAATCATTTTAAATAATAAAATAAACAATAAAAGTGAATTGATGTCATTATTAAAAATATAATGATAAGTTGATTAAAATATTCAATTATTTTGATTGTTATTATAAAATTATTTTAATTTAAATTGTTAAATTTCATTCTTTTTCTTTATATTTTCTTTATCCATTTAATTCATTGTTCATTGATAATTATAACTTTCTTTTATTCTTCTTCTTATTCATTTTTATATTATATTGTTGTAAAATCATTTAACTGATAATTTATATTATCTATTAATTCTCTTAATGTTGTATGATTATTTCTTCTTTTTATCTTTTATTAAATGTATTTCTTTCATTATGTTATCTTTTATTTCTATTTATTTGAATTATCTTGAATTACTTTCTTTGTTTATTCTTATTCAATTAATACATCATTCTATTCATTCTTATTTCTACTCTTCTTTTAGTATTAGTTGTATCAAATATTCTTGTGTTTCTATTTCTTATTTTTAATTATCTATCATTTGTATAATTTCTTAATCATTCATTTTCTACATCATTATTAGTATAACATTGATTTAATGTTAATTATTCATTATTATTTATTTTATTTCTTTTCATTTTATTAATTCTTCTTTTCTCTTATTTTCATCATTCATTATATTATTTAAAATGGAATAATAATGATTGTTAACATTAATTTCAACTCATTTAAATTTACATTTTGTTAATATTCACAAATAACTATTTCATAAATAATGAATATCATTTAATTAAGTATTTGATATGAAATAAATAATTGATTTATTACTATTATTGATATTAATTCTATAATAGAATAAATACATTTTAATAACGAGTCAATAATCAAAATAAAGAAATAGAATTAAATATTTATTCATCATCTTTTATAATGTTTATTGTATTATTATTCATTTATTTATCATCTATAGAATATGAAATGGAATGAATAAAACAATAAGAATGATTTATCAGTGAAATAAAAATGATTGAATAATCAATATCATTAATAATTATAGAAGAATAATAGAAGTGATATTCTTATGAGAATGTTCTTGGTTGAATATTCTATTAGAAGAATATATTGAAATGATAATGAGAATTATTTCTCATTATTCATAGTATTCTTATTGTCGATGTTTCTATTCACTGATCTTTTATTATTTGATGATGAATGATTTAAATTATAGAAAAGTGTTTATTTATTTAAATTCTTTGTTTTAATACATTATTTATTCTTTATATTTATTTGATTAACATGAAATGTTGTTAAATTAAATATTCTTAAATTAGAGTGTTATTATGAGAATTATTATCATTATTGTTTTGATATTAATTGAATTAAATAGTTGTAGATAAACACCCATATTCAATACATTGTTTATTATATTCAAATTTATATCATTATTCACAATATGATATTACACATTTTCTACTTTATTATCTCCACTTTTATATCATCAATGTTCTTTATCAATTTCTCTATCAAATTTATCATCTCTTTTATCTATTCTTTTATTCTTTCACTTTCATTTTGTTTTATATTTTTATATTATCTTATTTGTTTCTTCTTCAAGTCATTTGATATTATAATTCGAATATTCATAAATATTTATTCTTTCGTCATTACTGTATCTTAGAAATTCTCTACAAATACTTTTATTATTCACTATGTTTGTATATTTCTATAATTATTTTAAGATTATAACAATATGCTTTAAATTTCTTATCATTATCAATATCATTTAATTAAATAATGAGTTTGTGATATTTCTTATTCAATTTCATCATTTTATCATAATGGTCTCAATCATATCAAGTAATAATACAACTCAACATTATTTTAAACAATTTGTAACAAATTAATATGTTAAATAACATTCTTACTGTATAAATTACTATTTATGTTTATTTTTTGATATTTCATTTATTTTTGTTTCTAATTTCATAATTGATTGCTGTGTGAATTTATGTTCATCATCACCATATTTAATAATCTTTCATTTTGTATACCAATTTCAATGTCTTGTTGATTTTAAATATCTTTCTTTTATTTTATATGTGTATTCATACAAATTATTTCAATATTTGTTTTTATATCTTCTGTAACTTCTGTTATTTGTGTTGAATAAACATAATTAACATTATCATATCTTGATAATATCTTCTCTATTTATTGTGAATAAAAATTATCTATCTATTCTTTGAGAATATAAAATGAATTGGATAATTATTAGATTCAAATAAATCAATACATTTTGAAATAGTTTCTTCATACGTTTGATATATTCTTCTTCATGATTAAATGATGTAATGAAAATGTGTTAACTTTATTATATGAAATTGAACAATATATTATTTCATCATCTCATTCATATTCTTCTTTTATTCTGTTTGTAATTGAAGATAGTGTAGTTTCATTCTTTGATTCTTCTTTATGGAGTATTTTGTTTTCAATATCTGGATTGTTAAAGTTTAATATTTTATATTTAACTATTATATTTTGTTCATTTTCATATGTGATAGTTATTTCTGTATTTGAATATTCTTTTAATAATGATATTTGATTCAATAAAAAGATATATGGTTGATTTATCTTCTATAAATTGTGAATGTGTTGATTTTGATTGAATGTATTTCTCGAATAATATTAAATTAATATTCTCCATTATTTGTTTTAACTTGTATATACCAATTATCAACTATCTCTTTTGATATTAATTTGAAATCTACAAAGTTTTTTAATTGAAATAAATGTATTTTCTTATCATCTTAGTATTTGAAAATAGAAATAATTGAAATTAATTAATTCAACATCTAATTTATTAAAACATCAATCTGCATTAAAAATTAAATATCAGTCTATTGTTGAAATAATAATATTTTTAATTTGAGAATAGAATACATAAATACATATTGTTTTATATTTATATTTCGTTCTGAATCAATTTCATTTTCTCATAATAATTGTTTGAGAATGGTTGTTGTGTTTGATATTTTAATATGTCTTTAAATACATATGATTCTAAATAATATTTCAATAATTAATAATATCATCATTTTCTT